AGGACAGTTCTCGGACTACCTCCAATGAAGAGACCTTGCTTACATTGGCAGGAGACCATAGCCTAATGTGACTAGCCAAGAAAAGACAAATACCCAATGATCTAAAGCAAACTACAGAGTTCTATCTGGAGCAGGTGATTTGCAGAAATCCGAAGGAAGATCCATCAAAACCAAAAGAGAGGCCCATCTCGGACCAGCCGGGGTTGTCATGACGAGGTTTCCCACCTTGTGTACCCTTGAGACTCTGTTGGGAGTACCATATTCCAGGTACTGTAGATCTCAATGGGTACAACCCAGATTTGCTCTTTTATCAACTAAATGCTAATCGGCCATGCCCTAAGTAGCTCAGCAACTCTGCCGCAACCACTAGTAGGTCTCCCACTACCTCCAGTCGTTCTGTTGCCTGCTACGGACAAGCCCAGTATAGATACCAAAGGAGAAGAACTTGGCAAGCAACTATCAGGTGTATTACAAACTAGAGGCAACCAAGCAAAGGAACGAACACCAACAATCTAAGTTGACACCGTAATGAAGCCAAGCAACAGAAGGAACACCAACAATCTAAGTTCACACCGTAGTGAAGCCAAGCAACAGAAAGAGCACCAACACTCTTAAGTTCACACCGTAGTGAAGCCAACCTCCGACAAACATTTCGTTCCTTCAATGGAGAGGGGTATCATCAGTATCATCATGGTCATCATTATAACCATTTGAGGGAGCCCGGTTCTGAGCAGTTTTGGTTCGATCACTCTGGGCAGACTGTGAGGACCCCGGCCTCAATCTTATTATTGGTAATATCAGCCTTGGGCACGGGGCCCGGTTAAAAAATAAAATAAAAATAAAAAATAAAAAAGGGGTGTGCTAGTGGTACAGCTAGAGCCTGGAGATAGAGGGGAGCAGGGATCTGGTCTGTAAATCCAGTCAGATGCAAAACACGAAGAAAACTACACTACAGCCCAAGCTAGAGGAGAAATAGGAAACAGGCCTATGAATTCGGTTAGATGCAAGTTGCTTAGAGCTCAGCCTGTGGACCGTAGAAAATAGAAGATGCTAAATCCCTTGTTTATTCGTGCTAAATGCTGCGTGCAAACAAACCAGCGTATTGATGTCAACAGGTGAGGACGAGAGATGAGCAACAACGCGTGCAATCAGTGAGGGGGCAGCAGTCGGAGTTATCCAGGATTAAGAATTCTGAGGAGCCGATGCAATACTAATAGCCTAGTAATAGGCAAGTTCTGGGCCTACCATGTTTGTGAGAGGAAAAAGGGGTGAATCCAGCCATAGAAAGGGACTGAAGAGCAGCCAAGATTAGGCTCGAAGTCCCAGAGAGTGGCACAGATGGCTTAAAGAAGGGAAGATAATTCCACGTTCAAAGGAACAAAGAAACGGCTCAGATAAGGAGCCGGTATACCTAAAGCAGGGAAGGGTAGATAAAGTGAGTCATTGTGACCTCCGGTCGAGACTAATGCTCTGGTCCCTTTGCACTACTGGAAACACTCCCACGGCCACCAGTGAAACTCCCACTTCCCAAAGGTGACGTCGTCCTGTAGAGCTTCAGATCTTCTCACACTTCGAGTCTTCACACTCCCGGTTAAGGTAGTCGCTAGTAGTTGGCTTGTGCTCCTCACAACAACAGTCCCACCACTGCCAGATGCCCTCCCACTGCTCCCGGAAGTGCCGCTGTCTGACTCACCATTCGCCGTGCACTGGACTCACTCTCCCTTCTTCGTGCCGTTGGTCATGTATGTTTCCCAAAAACGGGGTTCATACAGAGGTTGCAATCG